TGGAATACGGGCAACGGCTCGCCCGACGCCATCTGCTTTTCGGTGGACAGACCGGGCATATCGATAGCCGGTGTCACCGTTTACGGCGGTATTGGCAACGAATGGCACTACGAGTTAGAACTGCTCGACTATAGCGGCGGCGGTGGCGCTCAAGTGCCGGACGATAGGCCGCCGACGCTCCGCGACGGTCAGTCGCATCCGTGGCGTACCGTCGAGTTGGCGAAGGGTTCGTACAGTTTTGAGGACAAGTCGACCGACGTTTGCGAAATCAAGTTCGAGCGACCGGTTCTTATTGGACCTAATGTTAAGGTAAGGCACTTGTGGTCATCGCCATTGAATTCAATGACATACTTATGTTTGTAACTTTGGGATCCAATAGTACGCCATCCGACTCAAGAATCACGGCCCGCGCACTAACAACGGCGACGCCGGACTCACGCATATCAGAGGGCCCGACAACACGACCTTCACGTTCAGCGACTGTTCCCTAAGCTTTAACGGCACGAATCACACGAGAGGACAAATACCACAAGTATTATCCCTATTATCTGTTGTCTTATGTTAACACTAAAAACTAATTCTTGTTTATCACTGGATCTGTCTCTATATACAGCTCCTATACTATAGCGCTCCGCAATCACTGAACTCGGATTCCAACTACTATTTGATGAACGAAGAGATTCCCCGGAAGAATGCGATTGCCATCACTGAGAGTGTGATAGGAATGGCAATCGAACTGTTAATTCAGGCCCAGGAATGTCCCACATTTGATCTCATTTGGAAGATATCGTCATCGCTTCTCATCAAGAAGTTGTTGCCATCGGTTTTGGCTTATTTGTCGCCCATTGTCTCATCGGATCCCAAGAACGCCACACAAATACTATCAATAATTAGAAAATTGTTACCATTAATTGTGTTTCTCAACAAATCCAATGACTATTGCGTTCCTAATCGTTCATTATCTCCATTACCGCCGTCCAGTCCAACAGTGACCACATCCAGACATTACGCCACTGTAGAGAGCGATCATCCGTACAAATCGGCCACTGTTTGCAACTATTTAGTCAAATTCGCGCCGACAGTCAAGTGGATGTGCATCGACTTTGACAGCCGGTGCGCCACCGCTCAGCCCGAAGACACTCTCCAGATATATATTCCCGAATACAGGGCCACGAAGTGCTGGGAGTCGTCAAAAGTGACCAAATTTCACGACAACAACAAGTGCTTATGGCCTGTGCTTAAGAAGTTCAACGGAAAGCCCAATACGTGGCCAACCAATTGGGTTGTGATTCCGGGCAATGAAGTTGTCTTCTCTTTAGAGACCGCTTCCGATTACGTCAAAGAAGACAAATCTCTTTATTACGGCTTTAGAGCCCAAGTCGTCGGTTACGAGAATCCCATAACCGAAGGCCTATATCTCGGACTCCAGTACTTGGAACAGGAGTTGACATATCTGTCGGGCGTTTGCGTCAAAACATTACTGAAGAAGAATCTCGTTTTACCACAAATTGTCACCGAAAGCGAAGCCAACTACGAGTCGGCGCTCCAGACATTCGACTCGCACTCAAGTCTCTTGAGTCGAGGTCTGGCGCTGTCGCGGCCGATGACCGCCACCGAAGCGATCGACGGCGTCGTCCCGTTGGCCAACGAACACCCGTTTCTCAAAGACTTCTTAGCCCTAACGCCGGGCACTTCGGGCGCACGACTGGCCAAATGGTTTCAATGCGAATCGTTTGTCGATCCGAATCAGTGCGAAGTGCACTGCAGTTGCGGAACGAACACCCGTTTCTCAAAGACTTCTTAGCCCTAACGCCGGGCACTTCGGGCGCACGACTGGCCAAATGGTTTCAATGCGAATCGTTTGTCGATCCGAATCAGTGCGAAGTGCACTGCAGTTGCGGCACCGATCAGGAGCTACAGTGCGGTTGGCCTACCGTTATAACAGTGATAACGCGGGACCAGTACTCCAACATTGTTAATGTGCCGAATCTGAAAGTGGAGGTCAGCGCTCAGCCCTTCAAAAACAACTCCAACAACAGTCAGTCGGCGCCGGAGAACGGCGGACAGGGAGGCAGCGGCACAGCGGGTCCGCCCGTGCAGACTGTCAACTACAGCATCACCGCCAAAGACAAGGTGTTCTACCACGCGATCACCATGATGAAACAGTTTGAGAACTACTCGTTCGAAGAGCTGCGGTACGTGACACCCGTGAAGAGACCCACCATCGAGACAATGCTCGTCCGGAGTAACAGCGACGGCACCTATACGGCCAACTGGACGCCCGCCTCCACCGGTTGGTATCAGCTGAAGATCACTGTGGATGGGGTGCCGG